AAGAACTATGGACAGAAGTTGTAACATTGTACAGAAGGCAGTGACCAAAACTTTTCCAAAGAAAAATGTAAGAAGGCAAAGTGGTTGTCTGAGTAGCCCTTATAAATATCTGAGGGAAGAAGAGAAGCAAAAGGCAAGGGACAAAGGGAAAGATAGACCCAACTGAATGCAGAATTCCAGAGAACAGCAAGGAGAGATAAAAAGGCCTTATTAAATGAACAATGCGAAGAAATAGAGGAAAACAACAGAACGGGAAAGACTACAGATCTCTTCAAGAAAATTGGAGCTATCAAGGGAAGATTTCATGCAAGGATTGGCACGATAAAGGACAGCAAAGGTAACAACCTAACAGACATAGAAGAGATTAAGAAGAGATGGCAAGAATAGATAGAAGAAGTTTACAAAAAAGATCTTAATGCCCCAGATAACTACGATGGTGTGGTCACTCACCTAGAGCCAGAAATCCTGGAGTATAAAGTCAAGTGGGCTTTAAGAACATTACTACAAAGAAAGATAGTAGAGGTGATGGAATTCCAGCTATTTCAAATACTAAAAGATGATGCTGTTAAAGTGCTGCACTGAGTATGCCAGCAAATTTGGAAAACTCAGTAGTGACCACAGGACTGGAAAAGGTCAGTTTTCATTCCAATCCCAAAGAAGGTTAATGCCAAAGAATGTTCAAACTTCATACAGTTGTGCTCATTTCACATGCTAGCAAAGTTATGCCAAAAATCCTTCAAGCTAACCTTCAGCAGTATGTGAACAGAGAAGTTTGAGATGTGTAAACTGGATTTAGAAAAGACAGAGGAACAGAGATCAAATTGCCAACATTTGTTGGGTCATAGAAAAAGCAAGGAAGTTCCAGAAAAAATTCTGCTGCTTTGTTGACTAAGCTAAAGCTTTTGACTGTGTGGGTCACAACAAACTGTGGAAAGTTCTTGAAGACCTGGTAGTACTAGACCACCTTACCTGTCTCCTGAGAAACCTGTATGTGGGTCAAGAAACAGCAGCAGTTAAAATCAAACACGAATATATGGAATTTAGAAAGATGGTAACGATAACCCTATATGCAAAACAGAAAAAGAGACACAGATGTACAGAACAGACTTTTGGACTCTGTGGGAGAAGGCGAGGGTGGGATGTTTCAAGAGAACATCATCGAAACATGTATATTATCTAGGGTGAAACAGATCACCAGCCCAGGTTGGATGCATGAGACAAGTGCTCGGGCCTGGTGTACTGGGAAGACCCAGAGGGATCGGGTGGAGAGGGAGGTGGGAGAGGGGATCAGGATGGGGAATACATGTAAATCCATGGCTGATTCATGTCAATGTATGACAAAAACCACTACAATATTGTAAAGTAATTAGCCTCCAACTAATAAAAATAAATGAAAAAAAAAAAACTTTTTGTTTTTTTGAAAAAAAAAAACCAAACACAAAACAACTGTCTGGTTCAAAATTGGAAAAAGAGTACAACAAGGCTGTATATTGTCACCATGCTTATTTAATTTATATGCAGAGTACATCATGCTGGGCTGGATGAGTCACAAGCTGGAATCAAGATTGCTGGGAGAAATAGCCACTTCAGATAAGATGATATCCCACTCTAATGGCAGAAAGTGAAGAGGAACTAAAGAGCCTCTTGATAAAAAAAAAATTGCAAATCAATGTGTACTCTAAAAAAATGAAAACAACTAAGGAATATTGGATACATACTGGGTTTTAGGTGGCTTTAAGGAATTACAATTAATTTATATCTTATAACAATGGCATGATTATTGCCTCAAAAAAAAGAAACCTTTATATGTTAAATACATAGTGAAGTATTTATGGGTGAAATTATTTACTTTGAAAGAATATAGTTTTAACAAAGATTAGATGAAACTGGAATGGCAAGATGTTTATAAATTTGATGAGTTGTATTCTTTTCTTGACTTTTGTATATATTTGATGTTTCCATAATAAAAAGTTAAAAATAAAATCAATGAGAGAGACATTAGGAAGGAATAGTCTTCACCCTCTTAGGTTGGCTTCCCTGGGAAATTGGCTTAGAGATTTGCATGCAGGGCTCTTGAGAGTAAACCCTGTGGGAGATTACAGGAAGTTGAACTGGGCCCAAGGAGATGCTGAAATGCACTGTAGTGACAAGGAAGGTTTCAGTAACTCCCAACTAGAATGGCTCCTCAGGTCACCTGATCTCAGGGAACCATGACTTTATACACCTCTCACTACCCTCCACTTCACATATACATACACATATTGATCTCTCTTTGAATTGGGAGCTGTCTCCAGAGAACAGGTATAACCTTGGAAAAGATATTCTTTGTATCACCTCACACTGATCAGAGTGGCCATCATCAAAAAGTCTACAAACTATAAGTTCTGGAGATGGTGTGGAGGAAAGGGAAACTTCCTGCCCTATTGGTGGGAATATAAATTGGTACAGCTGCTATGAAGAACAGTGAGAAAAAAAAAAAGTTATGTCTGACTCTTTGCAACCCCATGGACTGTAGCCCTCCAAGCCTGCGAGGCTCCTCCATCCATGGCATTCTCTAGGCTAGAATACTGGAGTGGGTTGCCATTTCCTTCTCCAGGGGATCTTCCCGACCCAGGGATTGAACCTAGGTCTACAGTATTGTGGGCAGACTGTTTACCATCTGAGCTACCAGGGAAACCATTATGGAGAACAGTAAGCGGTTCCTTAAACTAAGAATACCATATGATTCAGCAGTTCCACGTCTGGGCATATATCTGAAGAAAACCATAATTTGAAAAGATATATGCACCCCAGTGTTCATTGCAGCACTATTTACAATAGCCAAGACATGGAAGCAACCTAAATGTCCATCAACAGAGGAATGGGTAAAGAATATGTGGGGTGTGTGTGTGTGTGTGTATATATAATTGAATATTACTCAGCCATAAAAAGAACAAAATAATGCCATTTACAGTAGCATGATGGACCTAGAGATGATCATACTAAGTGAAATATGTCAGACAAAGACAAATATCACATATTACTAATATGCAGAATCTAATTTTTAAAAGAAATGATATAAATGAGCTTATTTACAAAATAGGAACAAACTCACAGATTTCAAGAACAAACTTATTGTTGCCAAAGGGGAGATGTCAGGTAGGAGGGATATTATAGACCAGGAGCTTGGGATTAACATACACAAACTACTACATATAAAATAGACAGCCAACAAGGACCTACTGCTTAGTACAGGAAACTCTACTCAGTATTCTGTAATAATGTATATGGGGAAAGAATCTGAAAAAGAATAAGTAGATGTATATGTATAACTGAATCAATATGCTATACAAGTGAAACACAACATTGTAAATCAACTATATTGCAATAAAACAATTTTAAAAAGATACTGCTTGGCTGACAATTCCCAGAGAGAGGAACTCGAACAGATGCTGAGTGCTTTTAGCCATTGAAGTAATAAGAACCTCAGTCTTTGTCCTGGAAATCTGGGCAGCTTACCCTGGCACCTATCACACTCTCCATTTTTTTTTTTTTTTTACCCATAAACATTTACAACGATGACATTTTTCTCCTGTGTCTCATGCACTTGATGATCGTGTCCGTGTTTTGTTTTGTTGGCTGTTTAAGAAAAGTGGTGTATTTGCATAAAGAGAGCATGTGTTGACATGCAATAGATCTGTTGCTTTAAATTCATCTTGCAAGTGGTTTTCATTGAAATAGCAGGAAACTAATGTCCTTTTAAAACTTTATTAAAATCATCTGGATATGCTCAATCTAGTAAAAGCAGAGTAGTACATGGCTGCTGGACTTCCTATAGATTTAGATATGGAGTAGAAAGAGGCTTAAGTGATATCCTACATTTGAAATTGTGTAGAAAGATATGTTATTGGCCTCAAAAAATATGTCCCTTATGAAGTAGATTCACAACTAGCATCCCTGCTCCATTTCTGTTTGCATGACTTTTTGAATGTCTCTGGCATTCTGTCCTAATTGGTCTCTTCGTTCTCCATGTGGGTTCATATACATCATTGCTGTTTTTTCTCGAACTGCTGCCTTTCCTTGTTCAGTCTGAGACATTCCACCTCTCCACTCAAGAAAGGTCAATTCTGAAGTGAACCTTTACAAAGAGCTGTATCACCCTGAGCCTCAGAATCATTTCAACTTTTGTCTTCAAAAATTTGACCCTTCATCATAATTGAATTCTACTTAGTCTAACCATTTTCATGATTAATTATAGATGGGAACTCTGGGCAGGATGGGGCAGCCATGTTTAATGAGGTCACTCAGATGGTCAGGCCGCTTTCTAGGGCACTGTGATCTTTTACTTTTGGCAAAAAAAAAAAAAAAAAAATCAAATAATTTACACCATGTTGTTGAGTTACTTTAGAAAAAATGACACCAGTGTTCATTAAGGATGTAAATACCTATAAATCCACTTAAACAGATGCCTTCTACATTGAAAGCCACCCTGGAACCTTGATTACATTTGATTTTAGGGCTTTGAAATGCAAAGCAACACACTGAACACTGTAGGATGAAACTGTTCTGAAGTGGAGAACTAGGAGGAAGTCTTAAATAGCATTACTCCAGCCAACATACACAAACTTAACATTGCTTTTTGAACCTATGGCCATGTGCATTAAAGATGAATATTTTGCCTTTGAAAAATTAATGTCCCAGAGCTCTTGCAACCATTGTTTTTTTGTGAAATGGAGTATGCAAAATGTCTTTTAAAAATGCAACCTTTTGGTGAATAGATTGTTTCTCCTCTTTTTGAGCTGTGTTACTCATTGGAAAGCCCCCTAAAGGAGCATTAAGCAAATGAGCAAATAGCTTTTAAAATCCTGTTACCATACTCAGAGGAACCTGGAGATGGATGGAGTCAGTGAGCGAGACCAATTTTCGTCCTTGTATGAAACAAATAAAGTGTCTCTTTCTCCTCTTTTCTTTTCTTGATCTTTTAAAAATGTAAAGGCTCACTGCTTTTTCTTGTTTAACAGATTTAAGTTTAAACAAAGAAGGCTTCTTTGAAAGGTCCAAGTAAGAAATGCCAAGCTAAGGAGGATGGAGCTGGCCTGGGAGCTTTGTGAGTTATCAGGTAAATGTTATGTCTGGAGTAGAGACTAAGATAACCAAGCCTCGTGGGGTCTTGGATCAATTTAATTTTGATAAATGACCAGTTTGGTAAATATTATTTACATTACTCTGTAAGTCAGGTCTGTTTCTGATCCACTCATGTTTGAACAACTCGCATCATTGACTGTGGAAATAGCTTCTCAAGTAATCCCCATGGGCTGGCTTACCCCACTGTTAGCTCACAGTTAGAAGGATAATTTGGAATGAGGGTGCTTGGCTTTTGAACTAAAAATGAAAGCATGAGCAAACGGCTCAGTAATCTATATTTGAAGCAATTCTTGAGCCACAAGAACTCAATATTCCCAGCAATCTACAGAAGTGGTGGTATTTTAAAATTCTGCACCTGCTTTAAAAAATGACATTCTTAAATATTACAAGATTTAAAACGAAAAACAGTTTTTAAGCATAGTCCTATCCCTTTAACACACTATTTTATTTATCTGTATTTTCTACTCTATCTATATAGGTTATATGTTTATTGATTCATTCACTCCTTCATTCTGCAAGTGTTTAAATACTTAGAATGCATCAGTTAGTAGTTTATGCCAGAGATTAACCAACATTTTCTGTAGTGAGCCAGCCACATAGTAAAAGGTTTTGAGGGCCACCCAATCTTTGTCACAACTTATCAGGTCAAGTGTTATAGGGCAAAAGCAGCTGAAGACAATATATGAACACACAGATCTGATAGTTTCCCCATAAAACTTTATTTACAAAGCAGGCAGTAGGTTGGATTTGGCCAGCTGGTAACAGTTTAACTAAACTGTGGCATAAAACCATGGCATCCAAGAGCCAGACAAAATATTAGATAAAGTCCCATTGAACATACACTGTAATTGGGGAGGGCAAATAGTAGATAACAAATAAATGGTCTCAGTGAATAAATAGTACAAATGAAAGAAACTATTAGGTTGGTGCAAAAGTAATTACGTTTATGGATGCTAAGTTTTAAATCACTGTAACTAGGCTCAAACACATGTTTATTAATCAAAATAAGAACCATTACAATCAACACATTTTTGCCAATGAGAAATTAGTTTGTTTATTACTGTAGCATAAAAACCTATGCTTTGAGATTCGATGAAGTCTTGGATAGCTTTTTCTGCATCCTGCTGGTTGTGGAAGCATTTTCCGTACAAAAAGTTGTCAAGATGCTTGAAGAAGTGGTAGTCAGTTGGACAGAGGTCACATGGATATTGCACCTCAGACAAAAATTGTAGCCCAGTTTGTTCACCTTTTGAAGCATTGGTTATATGATATGCAGCCAGGTCACAGAAAAGAATTGGGCTCTTTCTGTTGACCAACACTGGTTGCAGGAGTTGTAGTTTTTTGTGCATCTCATCGATTTGCTGAGCATACTTCTCAGATGTAAGGTTTCACTAGGATTCAGAAAGCTGTAGTGGATTAAACTAGCAGCAAACCATGAAACAGTGACCATGACACTTTTATTGGTGCAAGTTTGGCTTTGGAGATTGTTCTCAGTCCAGCCACTGAACTGATCATCACTGGTTGTTACATAAAATTCACATTGTCGTTGCATAGAGTTGTTGCATAGAGTAAGAGAAAATGACACTTCTAAAAGACTGTTTATTTGATTTGCAGTCAGCTCTTGAGACACCCATTTATTGAGCTTTTTCATCTTTCCAATTTGCTTCAAATGCCAAATGACCATAGAATGGTCGGTGTTGAGTTCTTCAGCAACTTTTCACGTAGTTGAAAGAGCATTAGCTTCAGTGATCCTCTCAGTTGGTCGTTGTACACTTCCGATGGCTAGCCACTGCTGCAGTCCTCATCTTCATGGCTCTAATCTACTTTGCAAAACTTCTTGAACCTCCAGTGCACTGTATGTTCATTAAAAGTTTCTGGGCCAAATGCATTGTTGAAGTCATAGTTGTCTCCACTGCTTTATGACCCATTTTGCACTCAAATAAGATCATTTGAATTGATTTTTGTCTAACATTATTTCCCTAGTCTAAAATACATATAAAGTAAACACCAAGGAATAATTCATTAGCAAAAAATATAAAGCAAGAAATGCATGTTAAAATAATGTATAACAAACCACATTTATTTAAGAATGTATTCCAATATCAAATGGCAATATTCAATAATGCAAAACCAAAATTATTTTTGCACCAACCTAATATTCCTAATATTAAGTGGGAAAGTATCCCACTTAATCCTTCCTCTGTGTCATACATGTAGCTAAATCTAATTGATGAGCATATATATGAAGGAAAGATATCAAGGTAATTAAAGATATCAAGATAATAAACTTTTTCTAAATTCTTTGTTTCTACTTTGGACAGAGAAACCCAAGAATTTTAGGGTAGGAAAAAAATCAGAAGCAAGGAATGTAAATGTAAAGAGTGTTTGCCTTGTGGTAAGAAAATTTTTGTTAGCTTTAGGCACCCAGCTTTGTGGGTAGTCCTGAAAATCAGGGTCTGAAGAAAGGGAGCAGACAAATGGGAACCTCATTCTTCCTGCTCAGGGCCTGTGTTTTGCCACTCAGGAGCAGCCATTCATAATTAAGTCAGTTAAGAAACAAGGTAGCTCAGACATAGAAGATCGTGTTCAAATCCATCAGGCATGGATTGTAAATGGCACAGTGCATGCAAAGCACAGTACATGATACATTATAAAGAGGATATACTGATGAATGTGACAGATCCCTGTCTTTGTAGTTGGAGGGAGAGACAGGGACCTGGCAGATAGGACAGATTCAAGGCCAAGGTATCAAGTGATGGAGTAGGGGTGTGTGGGTGTGTGTGTGTGTGTGTGTGTGTGTGTGAGTTGCTCAGTCGTGTCTGACTCTTTGTAACACCATGGACTGTAGCCCACCAGGTTCCTCTGTCCATGGGATTCTCCAAGCAGGAATACTGGAGTGGGTATCCCCTTCTCCAGGGGATCTCCCCAACCCAGGGATCAAATCCAGGTCTCCTGCATAGCAGGCAGATTGTTGATCATCGGAGCCACCAGGAAAGTCCATGATAGACTATGTGGGAGGTCAACTCCTACTCTTCCCTCATCTTCAGCATAGAGGAAGGGCTTACCCCCCATCCCATGCCTCAGGAAGGGAATGCACTGGAAATAGGTATTCCCTTCTCTTTCAGAAATATTTTCTTCTCGTATGCTATTCCTCTGGGGAAGAACAGTAATCTTTCTGGTGGATGAGATTGGAAAAGTATAGAGTGCGGTGTTTTCTGTACTCTTTTTTTTTAGATGCTGGTCATGGCAAATATATTTCTACGGGCCAGGTACCAACATTTTCATTTCTTTAATCCTCACAGAAGTCCTGTGAGGTAGCACTTTATCATTCCCATCTTCTAGGTGAGGAGATTAACTCATAGAAACTCTGAGGGACTTGTATGTCTACTTGGCTGATGAATAGCACAGCCAGGTATACTCAATCAAACTCCTGGATCCTCGCTATCAATTTCTCCCCTCTGCGGTTCCATGGAAGAGTGAAAGTGTACTGTTCACTTCTTCCATGACATAAGCATACCTGAATCAGGGCAGAGTCCTGTCTTGCTCGAACCCTCTGTGTTCCTGATGGAGGCACAAGAGCAATTTTGAGGTGTAGATATAAAGGTTTCCTTCAGTTAAGGGTATCCATTGCTAGATTTGGTGCAAGTGGGCAGAAAAGCCAATCATGTTCTTAAATTCAGCAACATTGGTGATAAAGCTAATACTTTTATCCCTCTTGATTTAACTGCTACATCTCTTTCCCAAAATTTTGGTGCCCAGCCAACTCAGAGGAAAAAAGGTGATTAATTCTCACCCCAGACTCCCATCATAAGTATGAATAATAGCAGTAGTAAAAAATATCCAACAACAAATATGGTATAGCAGACATTGTGATGAGTGCTTTAGGTATGTATCATCTCTTTGCATCTTCACCACAATCTCAAATGAGTAGATACTCCATGTTATGGAAGAGTAAAGAGGGATTAAATTTTAGGTTGTCAAATAGATTTCTGATGAATGAGAGTGTAATGACTATTTTATTGTCATTATGACATATTAATAGGCAAACCCAACACTTGATTGCAATGGTCTTTGATGTTAACTTCAAATAATTCTGCTCTTCACAGAATCACTGACAGTAGTTGATGTTTAATACTATCTTAAGAGCATGCAAAGTTCAAAACAATTCACAGTACTGGCCAACAAATAGCAGAATGAAGTTAGGTTAAGACATTTCAGTAGAAAACCTCTTTTATCTGTCTTACTTCTTCTCACCTTTTTCGGCATTGTCCTAGACAAGCCACCGTTGTCTCTCACTTGTTCTACTGAAAGAGTCCTCATATCATCAACCACATGTATTTTGTCAGTGTCAGATGTCTTCTCCATATGCACAAGCGTGACCTCACTACAGGGCACTGGCCTATGACTCCCCCTCCAGTCCTGTCTCCTCCATTTCCCAGCTACACTTCAGTTCCTTGGCTATCCCATATCCTTCGTGATGTGATTTGTTGCTGTTGTTTTTCCTTTCTGAAATATCCTTCCCTCTTCCTGAAACATCCTCTGCTAACCTGTTTTCACATCCATAAGGAAACTTATCCTTTATGCTTCAACTTAAATATTGCTTCCTCTGAATTTCTTTCTTAGTAGCCCTTGTTAGAGGTCCTTGTGCTATCCCATCCCTATACTTCTAGGACTTATCTCAGTTTATATTAATTTGGTTTTTGTAGCTACTCATTTTTTGTCTGACTTCATCTAAAGTAAAGCTTTACAGGGGTCTGATCCGAATCTGCCTTGCTCACTGCACTGTTCTCAGTGCCAAGCAGGTACCCACCCAGTTTATGTTGTTGGTCAAACTGAATATGGTTGCGAAGGTTGTGTCCTGTGCAGCTGCAAGGCACTGTCCACATAGATGGTGATAGCACTGATGCTCCCTGGAAACATACAACACATCAACCCTATATTGAATGAAAGAATGAATAAATAAATAAGTGACAT